AGGAAGGCCGGGAGTGAGGGGGCCAATCGCACCTCCGGGGGCAGAATGTTCCAAAGAGCAGGGGCTACCGCATGTTGCCTCTGCGGATTAGCTCCTCCTGGAACCACATGGGAACTGAATCTCTACTTTGTTCTTCTACTTACAAATTTGTTTTTAATTTCTGATTTCCAGCTTTGTTTATGGAGTGAATCACAGGAATCCCAAGTCACACAAAATATAAGCAAACTATTAAGTGAGACTTCTGGCTTCGTCACTGAACAGCAACAAACAGGAGCGAACGAACAATGTTCATCAGCCTGCTTGTTTGTTCACAGAACAAACTTGTTATTAACTAATTTGTAAAATAAACATATATAAACCAATATTTTAAAGAAAATGATAATTAACCAGCTTTAAGTTTGTAACTGACACATTTGTCAGATTCCTCAGAAGAAAACCTAGTAATTGTTTCAAATCCTGGATCATAATTCAGTATTCTGAAAAGTATTCAGAACATTTAGACATCATCATTTTAATAAGTGGTTTTGAAATATGTTTAAGTAAATAAAACACAGCTGTTATTCCTCCTCCTGTTTAGTGCTATCATTTCACAAATTTCATTTTCCACCCTGACGAGACTATGCAGATTATGCCAATTTAAGAACCAGCAGAGAAGCCCTTGCGAGCCTACCTGTTGCTGGATGCTGCTGCCAGCAGCTGTGGATTGGAGGGGCTTCCATTTGCAAATCCATGTTGGGCACAGGGTGAAGTGACCTCTTGAGATGCATGACTGCTCCCTGAAAGACATTTTGGAAGACAGACTAAAGCCAGATCTCGAGAGAGACAAACTGCGAGGTGCTAGCAGCCAGAAACCAAGGCAGAGCAATTAATAAGCTCTGAAGTGTCACACCAGAGAACTACGGCACACAAACAGATTTCCAAAACAAATACCCAGCGGGTGACAATGCAATCGCAATGCAACACTAAAGACACTAAAGCCCAAGTTAATTGCAATCGCATGTCAGATGAAAGTCAACCGTCCTGAGCTGAGAAACTAAGAACATTCTTTCAAACAAATACATCAGCCCAGTTCAGCAAAAGTAAGAGTGATTTCATATGCTTTGTTTAAAGCAAAATTGAGAGATTTAAAATGTATTGACAGACTGAAACCAAGCCGAGACTAAACTCCAGGAACTCGCTTCAGTGCTGGGGTTGAATTAGGAATACGGTTGTTCGAAGCAGAATGTTTTGTGATATGAGCAGTTGTATTTCTCTCTGCACAACTCAGAATGTATACAGCGTTCAATGAAAAAGAAGAGAACGAACCTTTCCAAAGCAATGACTGAAGCCAATCAGTTGAAGCTTTTTAAGGTTCACTTTAGGATTTTCATTGACAATATTTAGATGCATCATGTACTTAAATATAAAATTAACCATATTTTGAAAGATCCCAGTAGATAGTTCTCCAATGCTGACAGACTATGCTCTTCTTAAAAGAAATAGTTCACGTTAATACACAGATGTGCAGTGTCACTATCATCACGTAATCTACTTAAAGGTTGGGCAACTGTTCAATCCAGCACGGTTACACGGAGCAGTTTGTTCTAATAGTTTACACACCACAAATCTAAGGGAAGTGACAAAATCCTTCTACTTTGCCAAGATCATCTAGGCTGCTTGAAACATTTTATGGATACCTGATCGGAACTGAATTTTGAGTGGTCTCCCAAAAAGTTTGATCCCATTAAGCAGATTCATGCCATAGGGGACAGATTCTTCATGTTTGAAATTCACAAATGCAAACTGTTTTGGTTTCCCATCCCTGTCCTTCGGGATCTTTACTTTAATGACTGGGCCTGCCTGCAAACCAAGAAACAAAACAAAACGTTAAATAAAAAATACACCATCTATTTCCTGACACGTATGTAGTTAAACACACCTATGTTTCAAATAAACCTTTGAACAGGGGCAACATCTGCTTGCATCTGAGCACAGCATTTGCCAATCAAACAGAGGGCATTGTTATGGTGGTTTTGTCATCGCTTCCTCAGCACTAAAAGATCATATGTTTAGTCTTTAAAAGCTTTCTCCCCTGAAAACTGAAGAGCAGGGCAAAGTCTTTCATACCCTCACAAATGGATGAAAAGGAGTGCCAGATCGCTCAAGTGGGAGAAGGGAGCCAAACGCCATCCCCTAAAAGGTCCTATCAGTGTGATGCTAAAGCTATTCTTATGGACAGAAAGGGCTCAAGGTTTCTCCAGCAACAGGGCACTGAAGAACACACAAACACAGGAGTAACAACACGCACTCAAAAAGAGCAGGGGGAATCCCTTTCCCCGCCTTCCAAGTGAAATCAAGTTTCTACCTCGATTCCGAGCTTAAAAAGAGCACCGCACACCGGCCCATCCAGGCAGCCTCGCCACTCCCTCGCACCTCCTGTCGCGGCTGCCCGCGGGGCCGGGGAGGGCAAGGCACCCCGCAGCAGGAAGGCTCCGGCGCCGCTCGCCCCTTCGGGATGGGCACGGAGCAGTGGCGGGGACGGCGCCGAGAGGGCAGGAGAGCGGGCGGCCAGGCCCGAGTGAGGAAGAGCTGCGGAGCGTCTGCCGGCCGCCGCCGCAGCGCTCGGCCCGTCCCCAGACCGGCAGGGGCCCAAGGAGGGCGGGGGGGAGGGCAGCGCCGTGCTGCACCTCAGGAGGCCCTTCCAAGAAAAGGGGCTCCGCCCGACCTCCACCTGGGAGTCCCCTTTCCACGACGGCCCCACGA